TGTAGAAGCCCCCTTCCAAATCATGGGTGGACTGGATCTCCCTTTTAGGGTATTTCTTCCCCTAACCCTCTTGAGAGGCCCAGAGGATGTGAACCACTGTGTAGGTGACTCTGAAGTGAAGTCTGGCCCTTTGTAGTTGCAAACCTTTTGTTAGTGCACACATGTGGCATTTGGGAAATGCTCTGGTGCTTCAGTTTCTGATATAGCTAGAACAGCCTGCAACTTCAAGGGTGTTTGACCACAAGGGGATTTCTGACCTTCTGCAGAGGGCCACCAAGATGCAGCTGCTGTTCCCTTGGTTAACTCAGCACTGGCTTCTTGCCTACCCTGTCTCAAAGGGACCGATTTCTTATTTCACTGTAGTAGAGTGGTGTGTGTATGTGTGTGTGTGTGTGTATGTGTGTGTATGTGTGTGTGTGTATGTGTGTGTGTGTGTATGTGTGTGTGTGTATGTGTGTGTGTGTGTATCTCTGTGTGTATATATCTGTGTGTCTGTGTGTATCTGTGTGTGTGTATCTGTGTGTATCTATGTGTCTGTGTATCTGTGTGTGTGTGTGTATCTGTGCATCTGTGTGTATCTGTGTATGTATGCGAGTGCATGTGTGTGCGTGTGCACATGCGTGTGCGGGCCTGTGATGAGAGGCCGTTCTGAGATGTCCTACTGCAGTCTGAGGCTCTGGTCTTGGCCTGGAGGTCTGTGTGTCCTCCACAGCTGTCTTTCTGGGTGCTCAGTCCTAGTTTGTCAAACTGTTTCTCAGAAATGTCACCTCATCTTCTTTCCTGCCGCTGCCAAACTTCAGTTAACCCTGCTTTCTCTGGGGCTTTATCTGCGGCTTCTCAAGATCTTATTTTGGATGTAGAAAAGAGTGTTTCTCCCTCTTTCTGGTCCGGTTTGATCTAAAATACATTCTAGATGATATGGATGCTAGTTTTGGAATAGCCGACAAGGGTGATTGGGAAAGAACAAAAGAACTCTGTAAGAAGGGTGGCTTGTCTCCCGAACACCCATTGAGTGGCTGGTGAGGTGTGAGGCTCTCTTCCCGCCCTCTCTCCTTCCCCTCACTCACTCACTCTGTTGTTCTCCCTTTGGGCAACTCTGAGGGGAGAATCCTTCCTCATGGCTCTCCCTGTGTGGCTCAAGCTCAGAGCGTGCTGGGAGCCATTGGCCCGGCTCTGCAGACAAGGCTTTAGATTTACAGAGGAGAGGGTCTTTCTCTTGACTGCATTCCGTCTTCTGCTGCCGTTGCTCTTCTCGGATGGGAGTACTGTTTGGTGTGAGCCGTCGTTCGCTTGTTGACCTAGACACGAAGGGTGGCAGGTGGCTTTGGGCTCTTTGATCTGGGGAAAGCAACTCCTTTCTGTGTCACGGTTTCACCAATTAATAATAGTTGAACCCACTGAAAAAAATCCATAGATTAGAAGTACTGAGGCGTAATTGCCACAGGACAGCATTCTGGTGCAATTTCTGGCTTTTTTATTGTTATGTTCAATCCTTACTTAGGGCCAAACTAAATAACATTAAAATCCTGCCGGGCGGTGGTGGCGCA